CAATTTACAATAACGAATTTAAACAAAACCAGCGGGAAAAATAATTCGGAATAATCGTGATCTAATCAAATAATTGTTACCACATAAAAAAATAGATTGACGAAACATAAAAGTAAGAAAGATAGATGAAGAAAAAGACAATAAAAAGGAATAAATTATAACATACGCGAGACAGCTGATATTATCGTTCATTATCACATGTCTATTTTTATTTTCAAAATCACTCTGTTATTTGGATTTTCCTTTTTTTCTAAAATATTTGCAAGGATATACCAGTGTTGTTGGTATTCTTATTATTTGATAAATGCAATGATAATAATAATAATAATAATAATAAAATGATAATAGTAATGATAGTAATAATAATAATAATAATAATTATAATGATAATAATAATGGTGATAATAATGATAATAATAATAATAATAAAATAATAATAGTAATGATGATAGTAATAATAGTAATAATAATAATAATAGTAATAGTGATAATAATAATAATAATGATAATAATATTGATAATGATAATAATAATATAGCGGATATATAATGAATATGCATTTTCCTAGCCTTGTTTATTCCTTCGTCATTAGATAACAATTAATCATAATCTTGTGCTTGGACCCACTTACAAAAGAAATTAAGAAAACAAAAACAAAACAAGAAAACCTACAAGTCGAAAAGAAACACAACTAATAATGCGCATTGAAGTCACTCGTTCTCATTCAAAACCTCTTTTTTTTCTCTCTCCTCAAAATTCAACACAATGAAGTCTTTGTAACAACACACTAAACAAAAAAAAACAACAACAAAAAAAAAAGTAGTGTTTTAACCTCCTCGAAAGTGTGCCGAGCTTCAAACAAAAGACAGGGAATGGCCACTGTAACCTAGTCAAATTTAATGGCGGGAAAAAAAAAAAATATCCGTTTGCATAATGTATTATATTACGTTAATGAATTTCGCCGTGCTAACCGAATGCCGTTAAGCAAGAATGGGATATAACAGGTACTGGCTAACTTTTTTTTTATTTTTTTGTTAACCGTTAGTAACATTGTTTTTTTTTTCGTTAACTGTTATATAGTGTCTTTTTTTAGAGGAAAGTTGTATTACAGTTGACTGAAACAAATGTAGTTTTAATTACTAATGGAGGTGGTTGGATGAAGGTAGTTTCATTGAGGAAATATCTAGCGTGTCGTAAACAGGGCTGAGAGAGAGAGAGAGAGAGAGAGAGAGAGAGAGAGAGAGAGAGAGAGAGAGAGAGAGAGAGAGAGAGAGAGAGAGAGAGAGAGAGAGAGAGAGAGAGAGAGAGAGAGAGAGAGAGAGAGAGAGACAAACACAAGGGGGACGAGAAAGAAATGATAACGAAAAAACGAGAGGGAAAAATAGATAGATAGACAGAGAGAAAAATAGAAAGATAAATAGATGAAGAGAAAGAGAAAGAGAGAGAGATAGAGATATATAGAGAAAGATAGATAGAGAGAGAGATGGGAAGGGAAAGAGTTATTATATAATAATAACAGTGATAAGGGTAATAACAAATAATAACAACAGCAACAAAAAACAGCAGCAATAACATCGACAAGAACAATAACGCTTAATAATAATAACAGGAATAACAATAATCGATAATCATAACAACGGCAAAATAAATGACGCAAAAACTCTACGGAATATACACATACATCACCGTCACCGGAAACAATTTTTTTTTTTACAGGTTTATGGAGCGTAAAAAGACAACGTGAGAAATGACTAGACATCTTTGTACGCATCAGGCTTAATCTCAATCGCCAGACACTGTTCTTAATTATACGAAAAAAAATCGCGAAACTTCCTGTAGAAGGCGCTGAAGGGGAGGGGGGGAGGAGAAGGAGGAGGAGGAGGAGGAGGAGGAGGAGGAGGAGGAGGGGGGGGGGAGGAGGAGGAGTAGGAGGAGGAGGAGGAGTAGGAGGAGGAGTAGGAGTAGGAGGAGGAGGAGGACGAGGAGGAGGAGGAGGAGGACGAGGAGGAGGACGAGGAGGAGGAGGAGGACGGAGGAGGAGGAGGGAGGAGGAGGAGGAGGAGGACGAGGAGGAGGAAGAGGAGGAGGACGAGGACGAGGAGGGGGAGGAGGAGGAGGTGGAAGACAGCTGAAGATCGCAATGGCGTCGGGTCAGCTGTGATTTACGGCCCAATAAACCTAGGTATTTGGTTCCTGAATTCCTCTTTTGAGTATATATATTTTTTCTTTTTTTGCGGGGTTGTGGAAGTGGGGGGGGGAGGAGAGTCGCTTACTGACAAATGGAACAAAGTGGATGTTACATTTTTCTTTTTTTTTCTTCGTCTTAGTATTGTTGTTATTCTTGTTCTGTTTCTGGTTCTTCTGCTTCTCCTTCTCCTCCTCCTCCTCCTTCTTCTCCTTCCCCTTCTTCTGTTTTTCCTTCTCCTTCTTCTTCTCCTCTTTCTTCTTTTCCTTCTCCTCCTTCACGGCTTACCGGAGAAAACTGATTGCATTCCATTGCCCTCAGAAGTTGACCTCAGTTGAAGTAAGTAATTTGTCCGCTCTCGTTAGACCGCATTGCCGATCTACCCACGAACAAAAAAAAAAAAAAAAAAAAAGTGCTGCGTAATCAGCTGATAAATGTCTGTGTGATATCCCCTGTGTCTTAACCTGCCATAAATAACCTCGTTTAGGATGACACGGCCATTCTCGTCTCTACGATCTTCCTCTCCGCGTGTTTCTCTTTCATATTTCTACAATAATAGTATAGAAGGCACATGATAACGCACACCGTTACGGACGAAGCTTAACAACTGGTTCAGTCGGGAATGAGAAAAAAAAAGCCAATGTCTGCAAGGGACGTTCATTTACTGTCGAAAATATACACATTTGGGAGAGGAAACCGCGAGCAAAAGTGCGCGTACTCATCCGGGACACTGAACTTTTCCCCGCCGGCGCCATTTTCGCTTCCTCCGCGCCCCTTATTCGCGCCAATTTCCTCTCTATCAAATCCCCCTATTACGTAAAACATCGGAGGAATTGGCTGTCCGAACCTCCGCATTAGCAGCGTTCAGGGGGCGCCTAGGATCGGGGTCGCCCTCCTCCGCACGCGCCAAGAGGACATGAACTTTTTTCTTGGGGTCAATTCTTGCATATGGCGGCGGCGACTCTTAAGCACATGTTTGGTCTTCCGTCGTATTTTTGGTTCTTTTCTCTGTGCACGGCTGTTGGAATTGCTAAATTCTATAAATCTGACTTCAATGGGTATCGTAATTATCTTCGAAGTAGGAATAACAGACCAGTACAGAAAAAAATATACATATATATCACATGATACATAGGCCTACACGAAAAAAACTAAAACACCAAAGGTAAAAATCGAAGAAAATCATCCATCTAGGTCAGGCAGCGTCAGCCCACACAGGAGCCCAGCAGCCTATAATTACGCCCCTAAATTACCCTCGATTTCATATAGTTTTACGAAAGGATCATATAATTACCTGTT